CTTCCCAGTTTGCCCCAGTGGCCCCCCGGTCCCTGGGGCCAGCCCAGGCCCGCCGTGCCCCCCGAGCGGCATCACGGGGCGGGGGGACCCCGGTGACACGGGGGGGGGGGGGGGGGGCCCCCGGGGGTCATGTTTGACCTGCCTGTGTGCGTGCCCGGTGCGTGTGTGTGCATTGCGTGTGTGCTGCTGCGTGTGCCCCGTGTGGGCGCAGGCCACGCGTGTGCCCCCTGCGTGTGCAATGCGCGCGTTCCGTGTGCGTGCAGCGTGTGTGTGTGCGTGCCCTGGGCATGCTGTGTGCATTGCGTGTGTGCAGTGTGTGCTGCTGCGTGTGCCGCATGTGGGCGCAGGCCACGCGTGTGCAGCCTGCGTGTGCAATGTGCGCGTTCCGTGTGCGTGCGACGTGTGTGTGCGTGCCCTGGGCATGCTGTGTGCATTGCGTGTGTGCAGTGTGTGCTGCTGTGTGTCCTGTGTGTGTGCAGTTCGTGCGTGCGCACGCCCCGTGTGTGCCATGTGCGTGTTCTGTGCGCGTGCAATGTGTCTGTGTGCAATATGTGTCTGTGTGCAATACGTGTGTTTGTGCAAAGTGCGTGTTCTGTGTGTGCAGGCCCTGTGCATGCCAAGTGCACGTGTGCGTAGCGTGTGTGCTGCTGCATGTGCCCCGTGTGCGTGCAGTTCACGTGTGTGCATGCCCTGTGTGTGCCACGTGCGTGTTCTGTGTGCGTGCAACGTGCCTGTGTGCAACGTGTGTGTGCGTGCAATGCCTGTGTGTGCAACGTGTGTGTTCTGTGTCCGTGCAACGTGCCTGTGTGCAACGTGTGTGTGCGCCTGTGTGCAATGTGCGTGTTCTGTGTGCGTGCAATACATGTGTGCGACACGTCTAGGCGTGCAATATGTATGCACGCACGCAACACGCCTGTGTGCGCGCAAGGGGCATGTTCTCTGTGTGTGCAGGCCCTGTGCGTGCTGTGTGCACGTGTGCGTAGCGTGTGTGCTGCTGCATGTGCCCTGTGCATGCCACGCGTGTGTTCTGTGTGCACGCAACATGCTTGTGTGCGTGCAAGGTGCATGTTCTGTGCATGTGCATGCCGTGTGCATGTGTGAGTAGCGTGTGTGCTGCTGCACGTGCCCGGTGTGTGCGCAGTCCATGCGTGTGCACCCTGCGTGTGCCCCGTGCGTGTCCTGTGTGCGTGCGACGCGTGCATGTGCGCGATGCGCGTGGGCGCGCGACACGCCTGTGCGCGTGCAAGGTGCGTGTTCGGTGCGCGTGCAAGGCGCGCGCCTACGTGCCCCGTGCAACGTGCGCTTCCCACGCGTGTGCAAGACCCCCGCGTGTGCGT